TATATAGCTGATCAGTGCAGCTGGATAACATTACCTTTTCACATCCCACATTTTCCAAGTCTTACACATATACATAAATGTGTTAAAGAGATCAGAAAGTAAACACTGAAAAATCAGGAACACCAAGATTGTAAAGTACCACATTGTGAGAAGCACTGTACTAGAAGATATACAGTTGATGACATATAAACCTAGCCTTTGCTAGGGTTAAAATCAATTGGTGGTGTTCATCGATTAGCTAAATGGTCAAGTATTCCACATCATATCATGAATTTTCAAATGAATGGAATGCTGAACTGACCAAGCATTACTGCATTATTCAATAATGTTGTGGTAAGGGTTAAACTGGGCCACCCTGGAAGCATGTCCCTTTTTTGACAGAGTGATTTTTTTAAGTTGGGATAGCCCTCTCAGTAGCGGCCTGTGTGTTTACATTCCAAGCAATTCCCTTTCCACTCCGTACAGGGATATGGTCTCCAACATTTGAGTTGCCTAATTACGGTCATGTGACCCTCAATAACTTCCATCTCTTCAGTTCAGAGCTAAATCTTGCTCCTGAGATCAGAACAGCAAACCAGATATCTACTTGAGCAACAGAAGAGCACACGAGCTTACCGGTAAATGGGTAAGAGGCACGTCAACCTGCCCGAGGAAGTCATCTCTGGTCTGTATAAGAAAGAGAAACAACAAGAGAGGGCGAGAAGAAATTAAAATAACAGAAACAGTAGTAATGCAGAGATTTGGCTTTGAAACAGTGACTGACTTTAGCAGGACTTGGCAAGGAAAACCACAAAGATGAGGATAAACACACACCTGTATAACCCAAGAAGAATAAATGAATGTGTATGTATGAGAAAGAGAGAGAAAGAAGGAAATACAGAAGAAGGAATTACAGTAATAAGGGCAGTATTAATTTCCAAAGTGTCACTTAAAATGGGAAAAACCTGACAACCAACCCAGTGAGGAGCAGCAGATGGGCAATGAGTGAGGGTCAAGGGTCAGAAGGAGTGTATTAATGTATGAACCGCCAATCACAAGCCTTCATTCCAGCCACCAATTCCAATAAGCCAAATTGTGAGATTGTTAGCTGTGATTGTCAGGTGTTTGGGTCGTGGTAGACCAGTAGATTACCTGACCATGGTTGAAATGCTCATTCTTAGACCGATCATGACCAATGTGTGCCTGTGTGTGGAATAAACTTATTAAGACAACAAGGACGAGTACGTACCCCCAGTTAGGGTTACACAATGTTTAGGGCACTGAATGTAAATGAACCACCATGAATATGCTTCATATTGAAAATGACATTAATGCAACACTGTTAAATTAATTTAAATACACGCAGGTGTAGTTAACAGGAACTACATTTGGAACAATATTGTCTGATTCAAACAATGATACACTCTAGCAGCAGGAAACCAATCCTAAGGCTTTAGAAAAACAGCCCAAAAACACTCTTGATAAGCATAGATGATCGCAGAATAGAATAGAATAGAATAATAAAATAAAATAATCCTTCTCAAACCCAGTTAGTGAGCACCAGAACAGCAGAATGAGTGGACAACAAAGCTCATTTATTGTGGAAAGTTAAGTATGAGTCACTATTTGTGGTGGCGAGTGAACGACAGGGCCACAAATACATTCATCGCAGAAAACCCACCGTGTCTGAGACATTCCTCTGATTAAATGTTAAGCATTTCTGAGCCAAATGGGGTTACAGCCTCCAAACCACCAACAACAGTTGTGAATCACAAACAGAAGCAAAATTAAGCCATTATTTAACCAAAAAGTATGAAGGAATGACCTAGAAAGCTCAAAAAACTAGTTGAGTCTTAAAGGTCACACTGTAGAAGAATTATGTCCATTGTGTCTTGGCAAACAGTCCTGTCACTAAGGAAACTATTTTCCTATCCTTCTGCAATAAAAGTGATGCTCTGAAGAAGTGAAAATGATTTAACTGATGTCTTTTAACTTCAAAGCGACTTCGAGACCATTAAGATATCATGTCTTTATGACCCTAAAAGCCCTGTTCCCACAACAAGTGTTAAAAATAAATGTTTGCTTAGTCATCGTCCATTACAAAGCTGAGTTAACAGACGACTCTAGCCATTAAAGAGGCTGAAAAGTGCAGAAACAGAGAAAGCAAGGGAAGTGAGAACCAAGAGGTCATGTTTAAAGAGACAAACACAAAAAGGAAAAAAAAACTGGTTAAATAAACCAAACAACAGATCAAATGGAGGGAAACAAGAAAAAAGGAGCCCATTACTTTAAGCCATAGGTCACACAGCTAAGGACCGTAAAATTTAGGGTCAGGGGTTATGACAACAGGACCTGAGAAGAAACTTCCGACAACTGATCCGCAACACGCAGAGATGATAAAATAAGACTGGAGCCCCTACAAATTCAGCAGCAGGGTTCCTGTCTGAGCGACAACAGCGAAGTAATAGGAAGCAATATACACAGCAATAGGAAATGCTGACAGAGCTTGACTCTTTCATTAAACCTAATTTTAACTCTCTCAAACTCTTCTTCTCTTACTTATGTGCTTTAAATCCCGAGTTCTGCAAGAAAGCTGCCACAGCAGACTTAAGTGAGATATTCCCCCACATTTCCTCACCACGCTTGCTAAAACTTGTGAGACAGCAAACAGCCACATGCATTAACCTGAGAGCGCTGGCAGGTCTACAGGAAACCCATGCACCCCGCAAGGGACAAATGCAATAAATGATAAGTGAAATTTCATAGTTATGTGAAAGCCATTGCAATTGGTAAAAAACATCTTATTAAAAAGAAGCACTGATGCAGAACTGTATTGTAAGAGTGGATATTCTTTGTAAACAAGGACTTTACAGGTTATGATGTATTACAAGCCTCATCTTTAGATAAGTTACATCAACAAATACATACTTGAGGCATTCAAAAGAGCAGTCTTGACAGCGAGAAGTAAACAGATCTGTGTGAGAGAGTTTCACTTCAGATGATGAACTCTGCTGCTGGAACATTAAGCTGCTTGACTGACTCATTTCCAGTAAAGCCTTTTGAGCAGGTACTGGAAATATATATGCTGCCGTTAGTTGCCTCGGAAATTGGGAAGGTATGTGTGTGACATTCCTGATTACAGAATAGGAAGATTCTAGAATGTGGACGTCTCAGAGATTCCGGACATTCAGTTTGCAAGTACACCATCTGTGAAACTGAAGTCCCGCTTTCCACATTCCATCGGAAAGATGCTGTTATGACTTCTGCACATGATGAATACTAGTTTGAGTACTAGTAATGGTTGGTGACAAACTGATGAATGTCACACACTTGTGTCAGGACCACACTGATGAATTGGTTTCTAAGATGAACAGGAATGAATCACTGAAGGGACTTTCAAAGCCAGTAAACTCAATGGTAACCTGAAGGGAATGACAAATTATATGTGGCAAAAAAAAAACAGGAGGACCGTTGGAAAAAGCAAATCCTTAAGACGTGAGAAACTCAAACAAAGCCTTGAGCTTAATAGAACTATGTTGCATGAAGATTTTCTACATTTGAGCAATAATACCTTTTCTTTTTTTTTTTTTAAGTTACTAATACTAAGAACAGCATTATGTGTAACTATATATTAGACCTTAATCACCACAGAACAGCTGTTGCAAGAAATGAACAGTGACCCAGGCCAAAGGAGAAAAGCCGCTTTCAAAACCAACAACATCACTTGACACGGGACTAAAGATAGAACAAGCTCCTCTTTAAGAGAATGGGG